TAGCAAATGGCTGCAATATAACAAAGAGTGAAAAATTGAAGGGGGTCTGAATACTTTCCGTACCCACTGTATATGAAGTGAAGTGACGTGTGGCCAAGTATGGCGTCCTATACTCGGAATTTGTGCTTTGCATTTAACCCATCCAAGTGCACACACACAGCAGTGAACACACAAACACACCCGGAGCAGTGGGCAGCCAATGCTGCGGCGCCCAGGGAGCAGTTGGGGGTTCGATGCCTTGCTCAAGGGTCTCACCTCAGTCGTGGTATTGAAGGTGGAGAGAGCACTGGTTGTTCACTCCCCCCACCTACAATTCCTGCCGGACCTGAGACTCGAACCCACAACCTTCAGGTTACAAGTCCAGCTCTCTGTCCATTAGGCCACGACTGCCCCCGTATATATTGAGATATATTTGTGTTGACAAACAGTCCTTAAATCTTATTCTAGATCTTAAATATTTTTCTCTTTTGTGTACATTCAAATCGCCGGTTTGCCAACAATGAATGTTAAGCTTTCATTGTATGGAAAAAGCAGAACATTTTGCTTAACATCACTTTTTGTGTTCCACTGAAGAAAAGAAATTCATACAGATTTGGAATGATAAGAAGGTGGTTAAATGATGACAGAATTTTCATTTTTTGGATTAACTATTGTTCAAAAAGTGTTGTTTGTGGTTCATTATAATAATATGATAATTTGTCCATTTTTCTATGTGGTTGCTTCATACAACTTTGCCAATCTGTCATTGATTGCAAAGATTTTTGGCTGTTAGACAGCTTTAGCCATGTAGTATTTTTCTTTCTTTCACAGAACACCCTCATTTGTATGTCATCACAATGTCTGTTATTTTCAATGCTGAAATCACACCATGTTTTGTTTTATTTTTGTTTCTTTCTGTCATCTGTCCTCAACACTTTTGTATCTCTCTCTCTACCTCTGTCTTTCATTCTTTATTTTTTCCTCACCGTGCATGTTAACTGCATGCTGGACCAGTGTGTAAGTCAAAATGTTTGTTTTTTGTGTGTGTGTGGCTGAATTCTTAACTCTTTTGAGTATGTGGGATTTCACTGTGTGTCCTCTAATTGTGTGTGTGACTCTTAACGTGTTTATTGTGCTGCTATTTTGTATTTGTCATATCAACTGTCTCATGCATCAATCTAAAGGTAAAAGGGCACGAATGACTCCAGCAGTATGTGCAGACTGGAGCCTGCCCATATGTCAACATATACACATGCACATGATGTATTAAAAATAAATAAATAATAATAACATTGTGACATAACCAGGTGTGATGCATCAAGATTCCAGCGATATGAAATTTGCACATCCACACTGAAGACCCATCCATGTTTGACTTTAAATATAGGCCTACTGTGGCCACGAAAAGTTTGGAAATGCCCTACATTGGAGTTTTAGACAGTATTGGCATAAATCCTCCATTACAAGTAACTTGTTATTATCATTAAAGACCAGTAATAATGTTTTTTTGCATTACATAATAATGGCAATATACAGTATGCATCAAAGTCAGACAAACCCCTTTTATATTTAAATATTTTTTTTACATTACTGTTGAAAAGTTTGGGGTCAGTAAGACTTTTTTAATAAATGAATATTTTTATTCAGCAAGGACTCATTAAACTGATCAAGACTGACAGTAAAGACATTTATAATGTTACAAAAGATTTATATTTTGAAGGATCACATGACACTGAAGACTGGAGTAATGGCTGCTGAAAATTCAGCTTTGCCATTACAGGAATAAATAACGTTTTAAAATATAATGAAATATAAAGCATTGTAACAACAAAGCATGTTAAATTGTAATAATATTCCACAATACCATGATGATGTAATCCAAAACCTCACTCCACCTAGGGTGTTTTCAAATATTGGGCTAGTCACAATGCTGCAGAAATGAAACTAGTCGTTATTACAGCTGATTTCAGAAACTCGGATTAGCATAGCTTTTATCGCTTGCCATTTTATTGCGTCACGCCTGGTGTAAGAGGTTTAGGTGTTGGGCTCCCATATGTCTCTGTGAACACTAACATAATCCACAACCCACTGTGAACGAAGGATCTTTCTTACGACGGCACGTTATTCAAACACTTTGTCTTGATAATGACACATCTGTGCTTTCTTCAACCAATGAGCTGATTCTAATTGTCTGACACTCACACACACATAAACACACACACATACTGAATTCATCCACTTACTGAGCCATCAGGTTATTTCCCCTGACTGATTTTTGCTCTTTTAATCCTCAGCTGTGTTTGCGGAGCGGGTGCAGATGTCAGATATAAGAGTTAGGAAACCGAGGCAATAAACACAGCTACCTCTTGTGAGCAGACAACCTGTCACTGGAACAGCAGAAATATAACACGCCTCAGTGTTAACGTCAATCGAGGGACGTTTTTCGCAGAGTCATCAGGTGCCGATGGCGAGCGGTGTTTAGCTAATGAGGGCAATGTTGGATGAGGATGCCAACTCCACAAACCACACGCCACAGTGACAAAACACTTAGGGAAGGCAAAAGAGTCAGCACTTACCATTAAGTAACCTTCTAGATCCCTCCATCAGCGCCAGCTGCCTCGTGTTTACATTTCAGTCAGGGCTGCCAAAGTGAAGGGAGGCACTGAACTTGAATTCAAATGAATTGAATGAATGGCTCTGTGAGAAGTGATACTCCATTAGAGTATCAGTCCTCTAATGGAGTATCACTTCTCAGAGAGCCATTCATTAATTAAGGCTTCATTAAATAATCTCAGCAGTTATAGGCCTAATTTAGTCATTAGCATATCAATGTAGGGCAAATTCGTAGAAAGGGATTGTTGTATGAGAGAAGTGCCATCTGAAAGGTCACAAAAGTCACAGCCTGTGTGATCATTAGACTAACTATCGGCTGTCGATGATTTGTCAATTAAAGAATCGTAACGAAAGCAGGTTGGTATTGGTCATAATTAAATTGAAGTTGTGAAAGTACACTAGTAAAAAATAAATATACTAAAATGTATTTGAAATGCATTTAATTCATGCTAAGTATACTACAAATACATTTACATATGTATGTACTTAATTAAAACGCCCTGTAATTGTACTGTTGGTATACTAAACTGGTATACTTAAAGTCTGCTAAATTGGAATTTTGTACTTAATGCACTTTAATTGTGCAGAAGTGGTGCTGAAGTCCAACTAAAGATATACTGAAGTATATTTGATTGTGCTAAAGTAGAACTATTGCAAGTATACTTTAGGTACACTTTAAATATATTGCATTTAAAGACCGATATTGTTCAAAAATCATACAATCCTCAATAGTGACATTAAAACAGATTTTGGGCTTAATATTAAGAAATGTGCATTGTGCGCAAGTAGTACTCCAAATAAAGTTTAACTATAATTTTTATATCAGTAAGTCTTGAGCGATATGTCAGTAAATATGTTAAAGGGGTTATAGGATGCCCATTTCCCACAAGTTGATATGATTCTTTAGGGTCTTAATGAAAAGTCTGTAACATAGTTTGGTTACATTAAAAAAAAAAAAATATATATATATATATATATATATATATATATATATATATATCCTAGTATACTAAATAAATTAGTATACTAAATTATAATAAATTAAGCTTACTTATAATTTAACACAATAATTTAGGTGACATGATTACATGACCAAACTACATAAAGCACGAGAATGCAAAAAGTACACACTAAATGTGCACCTTTTGCCCTTTGCTATTTTGTTTCTTTAGTGCTAAAAACCTCCCTTTGTTATAAAATTGCCAGCCTACATTTTATTCTCACCAGAATCACTCACATCATGACAAAATTACGATTTCTGAACTTGGAATTTCCCAGGAGGACTTGAAGGCAGCAACTCCTGATCCATGGTTGTCACTCCTATAATGTTTGTGGTCTTTGAGAGACAAATACGATCATTTACCCATCCTTGAGATTTGACTCCATATCAAGTGTGTAGAGGAGCAGGTTGCAGTGGGGAAGTGAGTCATCTAAACACATCTGTCCATTCCTGTGTTCTAGAAGACGTGACTGGCAGCATGTGGGTGTAGAAGAGCCATGCTACACAGCGATGCTAGTTTCTCTCTGCTTCAGTGACAGCTTGTCCGGTCAACCTCTGCGTGCGTGATGAAGTGAATAATTTGAAGGCCACTTGGAGTTTATCGAAGCGATCTGACATCTGAAACCCTCTCTGACTCTGTGCTTTTCTCTGATATGTGACAGCTGCTTCTTTTTCTCTCCCTGTCTTTTAATCTCTCCCCAAATCTTTGATCTGTGGACCTTGGAAAATATAATTGCCTTTGTTTGTTCTATTATCCCGCATCCTATGATCCCGCTCATTCATTCATTCACTCACTCACTCACATTCCCGGCCATAAATATTTATCTCCATCCGTACACCGCTCTGATTTATGTTCCTCTCCTCTACATCTGAACACACCTGCACCTTCGTCAAAACCATTTAAACCTCATTGCAATACTGGATTTCACTTTTCTGTCACCTCCATCCTCTCCGTCCCTCCACCCTGGTGGTCTGTTTTCCCCCGGTTCTGTCCAGCCTTCTACAGCGCGGCCCCTCTCACCTCGGCGGGCATCATTCCCATCATGCAGTCTTTGTGTCCGGATGGTCAGCGGGATGAGTTTGGCTTCCTGCAGTATAAAAACTCCACGTGAGTCCACTTACGCTCTGTTTCTGATTTTTCCTCTCTCGATGACTAAGATGGGCTCTAATGGATTCAGTTCTCATTATATGGTGTGAATAGCAGTCACCATCACCACCTGTAATAGTGATCTTACGAGCTGTTTGATTGTGTAATGGATCTTGTCTTTGTGTTTAGATGTGATTTGATTGTTTGATGGATTGTAGTGATAGAACTACATAACTATGACCTCAGCATGACTGGTCAGCAGCATTTCTTGGGTTTAGGAGTGCGCTAGCTTAAGTAGCAAGACTGCCTCCTTGATCAGTTTTACTACAGTTGTTTTTCAATTTTGCTGGTAAAGAGCATGGCCATTCTCATCCACCAGCCAGAACAGCCCAATACTACACTGGAAAAAATGGTGTAGAATTCAGAAATTTCTCGTAATTTCACAATAAATTACAAAGAAACAGCGACTAACTTTAAGTTTTAAAGTAGAAAGACTGTAACAGTATTTAATTATAAAACGCGCTCCAATAATCTTCATTTTATTTACCACTTAGAAAAATCATTGATCAACAGTAACAAGTGATATTAATCAGTATTAATGCATCTCAAAGGACCCGGTGTTATTAAAACTAAATCTCTTAATAATAAATTTCATTAATTGAAATGCTGAATTAATGCTGAATATATATATATATATATATCAGTACTGTCAAATGATTGATCACGATTAATCGCATCCAAAATAAAAGTTTTTGTTTACATAATATATGTACTGTGTATATGTATTATGTATTTATAAATACACACACATACAGTTTATATTTTGAAAATATTTATATGTATATACATTTATATATTTATATTCTTATATTTTATATTATATATAAATATATTTAATATATAAACATAACATATTTTTCTTAAATATATACATGCATGTGTTTGTTTTTATATATACATAATAAATATACACAGTATACACACATATATTATGTAAACAAAAACGTATCTTTTGGATGCGATTAATCACGATTAATCGTTTGACAGCACTAGTTTATTTACAACGTGTATATATATATATATATATATATACAGTATATATATTAGTTAAAAAATTAAATTAAAAAAACCCAAACTGAAAAAAATAGGAAAGGTTGCCTTAGCAACTAACTGAAATAAAATAAGTTATGAAATTAATTAAGCTAAAACTGAAATAATAAATTCACACTAAATAGAAATATATAAAAAATGACAAAAACATTACGAAATGACTAAAATATAAACTAAAATTAAAAGGAAAACTTCAAATATAAAAAAAGCTCATTCAAAATATTAATATACTATAATATTATATAAGTAATCTGAAAATAACTCTGCAAGGACCTGGTGGTACAGTATTATGCCAACATCTAAATCTTGATATGATGATTTTTTTCTGGACTTTGGTGTTTTGCGCTAGAATTAAATTTGAAAAATATAACTAAAAATGTATTAATTTTGGTGTGAGATATAAACATAGGTTTGTGAGGTAAAATACTTTAAAATGTTGTTTTCCCCCCATCTTATATAATCTAAATTCTCTAAACAGTATCGGCCAGTCTGGACCACTAGCTTTTTTTTCTTCAGTTGGTTACTCCGCTTAAGCGATTTGCCTTTCTCTTCTTTTTATTCTGCTCTTCTTGTTCTTATTTTCTTTTCTTTTAATTTCATTTCGTTGACCTTTCTTTTTCTTCTGTTTCTCAGTGTGACTCAGTTGTTAGAAAGGATCAGTGAAGTTGTGGAGCAGAACCACTTGTTTACGTCAGACAGACCCAGTCTGGGAGAGGAGCTGGAGTCACTGCAGCAGCACCTTGAAAGTCTGAGCTCAGCACAAGGCCCTCTAGAGAGCCACTACAACACCAGCCATGGTCAGAAAACACATGCATGCATACATATACCAACCTTGACCATAACCGTACATGCAAATGAGAAATTAGAAGCAAATTACTATTTTAGTAAAATAGCGATACAGTTTCTGCTGGATTTAGTATTTAAATCACATTGTTATTACATTTCAAACACAGTTAGATTTCAGATGCAGTTTCAAATGCACGCTTTTATGTGGCTCAACTGTGGATAGCATATATTCTGTTGACACTATATGTATACTTTTGGCATTAAAAAGTTACCTTGTATATTTCCAACTGTATGAGGATTTTATTAACCATGTATTGAAGGGAATCATAGACCACACTGAAAACAACCATACAGCAGAACATTTTAGACAAACATACCCAAAGCGGCAGACATCTGGCGTTTTGAGTGTTATTGAACTGATTTCTTACAGGTACTATAGCAAAGTAAACATATACTAAAGTCACAGTCATACTGGACTTTGTTCTCCATGCACTTTTATTCATAATGCATGCATGCGAAAGAGGAAGACTGCAGATGAAGCTGATGTGAAGTTTTTTTTTAAATATCACATTAATTGCTTTATACAGTACTTGCTTAAATTGTATTGAGCATCTACATTACCATTCAAAAATTTGAGGTTGATAATGTTTTTTTAAGTTTTTGAAAGAAGTCTTTATATTCATTAAAAATACAGTAAAAACCAATATTTTGAAATATTATTACAATTAAAATAACTGTTTTCTATTTTAATGTATTTCTAATTTTAATCTATTTTAATGTCATTTATTCCTGTGATGGCAAGACCAAATTTTATGCAGCCATTACTCCAGTCTTTAATGTCCTTCAGAATGTTCAATTCCCCTTCAGGAACTCGAGCTGCGTCGAGATTCGCTTTGGGAACTTCCCTGCATGACCGCGTTCTGAAGCACGTGTAAAATCAGTCCAATGGAGCAGCGAGACGTCACGAGCGGGGTGACGTGAGCGCCAGGAAGTATAAAAGCGCATCTGGCAGAGCGCAAGTTAGCTTCTGCTCTTCAGTAGCGCTCTGCACTTTCACGAAGTGTGTGGATGCTGCTCTGGCTCCTCTGCGACTCCAGGGCATCCGCATACTCAATTACATCTACGATTGGTTAATACTAACTCAATCGGAGCAGATGGCGGCTCGGCATCGAGATGTCGTCCTCGCCCATATGAGAGAGCTGGGGTTAAGACTAAATGCCAAGAAGAGTGTACTTTCTCCACTAAAGAGAACCACTTATTTAGGTGTGGTGTGGGATTCTACCACAATGCAGGCACGTTTGTCTCCTACTCGTATCGAGTCAATCCTCACGACAGTCAAGAGAGTAAGAG